TTTTATTAGGGTTCGTGTAACCCCGTCATACATCTCGTGTGACACCTGTTACCAGGGTATGTGTAACCCCATTACATTGCTAGTCAGCTTTCGGTGTGGAACATAACACTGTCCGATATAATTAACAACAATGTGGCTGGGCTCTATGAGTCGAGTACGAGAGACAGAAGAGGATTTATGCCGCGGATGAGACAAAGGATAGCGATTGTATATACTCAAGTCTTCCTGAGAAACAAACGACAGTGCATCGTGGTTGCCATAAGTTATCTCTAGTGTACCGGGTGTCTTCTGTATCAGAGGAGCGACTGTTGCAGTAATTTTACACAGTCGTACGGACTGTACTAACGCTTTCAAACTTTCTGAGGCTGCGGAACTAATCCCCATCGGCAATTAATTCATATCTCTGACGGATAAAGTATCTGAAAAAACGCTGATAATTATTCGACAAAAATATCTCAGTAGCTTTATAAAAAATGGATTTTGCGCATAAAACGGATGGACCAGCGCCCTATGCTCAGACATTGGTTGCAGGCCCACTATCAGCACCGTTAGAATCCTTACCGTTTCCTTGACATTGAGCTCATGATTTTATGTAAGCTATTACACAATAATTCACCCGTCAATACAGTTAGATTTGTTGTGCTGTCCTATACACGTTGCAGTACCGACTCCCAAAAAATGCATTTAAACAGCTCGCGAACAATGCCGCATCAAAAGTTCTCATTGATTGAGGAGCGCAACTATATAAAGATTGCCATGTAAGTTAAACCACCCGCTCACAATGTCTGAATGACTAAGTGGACAAAACGTTCGACAGATATTTCGAGAATTCGGATGATCACGTCGATGTGAAGCAGCTCAAGTTTTTTCTTGACAATACGTTAAAGACGGCGTTCGGTATAATTGGTGCTTCAGTTAGTGATTTCGACATTCTTTCTTTGAGAAAAAAGTCTGCAAATAGTAATGAGCCCATCACGGTATTGTTACGAGTCCACTGTGACGGACTCAAGACATTGTGGGGTGCCATTACCATGTGCACGACCCTCAACGGTAAGCTATGCAAGCTGGAAGTTCTGCATGTTGGTGACTCGCTGATGGACATGGCCTCTGAAAGATATATGTAGTCAAGCAGGGCCATGGATTGTAAACTTAGTGACAATAGATTGCACCATTCAAACGTCTATATCTTAGCTTAATGGTTTACACAACAGCTTCAGGAGCACCAACAGCGATCGTCTTTTCAGAAAAAATCAAACGCTTACGATTCCGTTTGAGCATGACTGTGTGATTGATGGGATCATTGTGAGCATTTATTCGCACGGTTGGACGCTGGTTGCCTAAATTTCCACCTGTATTGAAACCGTTCTGCATAGATGACAGGCGCGAGACACTAGATGTTGCTTGCATTGCAGCATTTAGCGACTGAACGGATGTTGTGAATGAAGGAATCGAAGGTGATGACCGACGCCGTCGAAGAGTACGTCCATTTGGTACACGTGGACGAATTTGATTGCTTTGTTCCTCTTCATCTTCCATTCGAAGGTTATCAAGCACATCGTCGGTTAGTACTACTCGGTCAAAAGCGTTTAGCACGAATTGACGTAAAGCTAGACGGTAACTATATTTCTCCAGTAACGCGTGTGCGAACATCAACAGCATCGGCTCTTCGAACAATTCAGGCTTAGATGATCGCAATTTGTTCAGCGAAGCGTGAGCCTCCTTTTGGGTAATGTGATTGCTTAGATCAGCAACAAATCGGAGCACTTCGCGCCACTCGTTGGGCATCTTGTCACGCTTGCGGATTAACAGACGCTGAAGAGGCGATGCAGGCGTCTGCGTTAGCGGGCAGGGCGTTGAAGATTCAGATGGCCACATAAAAAGCGACGTGCAGTTTTGCGGCACGGCGATGGAAGTGCGGGACGCATCACGAGGCGCTTCCCAGCCAAGACGTGCAAGGTGTCTCCGGCCAGCAGTTGATCGCGTCAATAAACCCAGGACAAAAAAACAGGTTCCGCGAATAGACACAAGCGGAGAATCAGTAGCTAACTTTACAATCATCTCCACGAAGTCTTGAGCGTAATGGTTAAGCAAGTCGTATCCACGTGGAGTGGCGGATACGTGCCCAAGTGCCCACAATGCAGCGCGCTTTTCAAGCGGGACACTTGCGGCATCCCGAAGACAGGCAAGGAATTCAGGTAAATGCCCAGATGTATGTAGGATCTGACACCCAGCACTGGTCTTAGCCAACTCGCCGTAGAGATGAACTGGAAATGGCACGGTCCGCGGGCGTAGTGGCAGTAATTGTAACGTAAATTCAACAGACTTGAGCAGTAAGCGCTTAACGCTTCCGTTCGAAGTGGTAGTACCAGCCGCTGAGTCCATTTCGACTCGAAAGTTCCAAACAGCACGCTCACCTGGGGCACACAGAGAACACTGCGGTGCTGTAAGATATTGCGGTGACCGCTGCTCAGGATGGCAAGAGCTCCAGTCCTTATTCTCTTCTTTGGCAGCGTCAGCCGATGAAACTCCAGTATCCGCAAAATCCAGCGACGTTGACATCATTGTTTCCGAGCTGCGATCCATACTCCCTCCAGTTGAGTTCGAAGCTGAACGAGCGCGAAGCATCTTCTGCTGTGTGTCACTTGACAGGGCAGAGCCAGCACCTGTAGCAGATCCACCAGCTGAAACGAAGCCTCCGTTACTCTGTGGAGGCGGCTTGGTGAAGCCGCGTCGATCAACTGGTTGCGTGCCTAGAAACAAACATGCCTGCAGCGTTTGCTGTGAATTCACCACTACAGGTTGTGGCATATTACGCGCATCCACAACAATCCCTTTGACGCGGATAGAGTTCATACGAAGCTCATCAAACGCGGCTGCTTCATCCTCCTCGCGCATAGCACCATCAATATACGTTTCCAAGATAAGGTTTGAAGGAGGGCCGCTTCCCGGAGGACCGACAATCTTTACCTCCATATTCCAGGGCATACGATAAAGCCAATCCAATCCCCACAAGGACCGCTGGCTACTTCCACCACTTGGTGGTTTCAGTCCCACACCACCACCTCGCTTCATTGGTACGTTTACCGGAATGGGTGTGGGAGCGCAAGTTTGACGGGTGTTCAAGCTGTTGCTTGAACCACGTTCACGACCAGCTGCATCGCGATGCAATCCTCGGAAAATTGCGTGCTCGACAGCATGTACATACGATATGTGTTTTTCACGACGCCAAGCGGCGAGTGTAGTTGGAATCCAGTCACCTGTATCTCGCAGAAAATTAAGTCCTTCAGCTAGCGAAAGCGACTTGAGAAGCAGCGACTCAGCACGTTTATCCTTTAGCTGAGTTAATTTGACTGGTCGCTTCAAAATCATCGCTAAAAGGCACGGTGGGGTCTCAGCAGCCTCTTCCAAAACACTAAGGGCGGCCTTGGCGACCTCCTCTTCCTGTGTTAATTGAGTTAGAAGTGCATCAATGCCCCACTTGTCAAAGTCTGCTACTTCTGAACGCAGTAGAGCGCGAAGCAAGCATGTTGCATACAAACGTAGCGCCTTAGATCCTTCCATCATCCAGGACTGAAGCAGCTTGCGAGAACTGCCATCAATTGAGTAATCCAAGTTGGCAAGTATCAGGCGACACAAAAAGTCGTGACCCTTTGTCGTGCCCATGACGTATAGCCGCTGAAATAAATTTGATTGTTCCATCATCTTCAGACCTTCCTTGCTCGAACTCATCAATCCCAAAAGGGTAAAGTATTCGCGAAGCATACGCCGAGAGACGTAGTCAGGTGAAAACATGCGCGCTTTCAACACACCAATATGCGATTCTACGATAGCAGCCTCAGGGCGAGCCTCAAGCTCGAGTGCAGATGAAATCTCAGTAAGCAGCTGACCACGACGATCAGTCTTAAGAAAAAGCAAACCTTCGGGATGATTTAATAGTAACGTATACATCTGGCAGGCTGGGCGAAGATATGGCACGTGATCCGGAATCCAGTACAAATTAGAGAAATAACCTTTGTTGCCCTGATCGCAACGAAAAAATCCCGACAACCGTTTGAAAAACTTTGTTTTCATAGCCTCCGAAAGTCGCTGCGGATTAGTCAATGGCCCTTCGAGCATTTCAGAAATGATGTCCCAGTTCCAATTCTTGTAGTTTTTATCCGTTAATACACGTGAGCGGCTGTGTAGCATATCTTTAAACGTACTGTCATCCATCTGTGCATCCAGCGACTGCTTAAGCTCGAGAACCATCAGCTCACGCGATGTCAAACTATCTTTGAGTTGTGCAGTCGCGTTCTTTGTGCCACGTTGTGTGGAAAGAGATGCAACGGCATAATTTGCAGAGCTACCACTACTTCCGGATATCCCCCCGCCGCCACTTGATGCTGGAAGACGTACAACGCCTGCGATTTGCTGCAAGGCTAGAAGATTCGAAGGCCGATTCGTGTCACGCAGTAGCTCGGATGCCAGCTGCACACCGTTCACACCGCTACCACCGTATGAAACAAGTGACACACCTCGTGTAGCAATGCTGCCAGAGTTGGCACCTACGGCATTTGCCAGCTCGCCGAGCATTTCACTTGCTCGAATCGATTTCTCTCGCTGTAGACGCTCCAATAAGCTTTCAGCATGGTCACACAAAGACATCGTTGTGGTAGTTGTGAGCGAGGTTGCCGAGACTAATCGCGGGAGTGCAAGCATTGACGCACAGTGCTGATCGGGCAACAGACGTGAAGCCATACGCAAGATATCGGCTAGCAGATCAATAGCTGGTTCCGCCAAAGCTCGAGATGGTCCAGTTCCTAGCGTGATCAACGCTTCAAGAATACCACAGTGTATCATAGCAAGCAATATGACGACCGTGTAACTATCCAAAAGATTGTGATTGGCAGCAAGAGGTAATTGCTCGGCACTCGACAAAGTGATGGTGAGAGGAGGTATCTCTGCTACATCGGTCGCTGACTTGTCAAAACTTGTCTTTTTATAAAAAATCTCACAAATAGTTGACAGAACAGCCTTTTGCACGTCCTCACCTACAGGTCGTACTAGCAACTGAATAAGCGACTGTAGCCCCTGTGGATTGCTCGTTAGCACCACTATTCCCGTCCAAGACCGCATCATCATAACAATAGCGTTTCGACTAGCCATCCATCGCTGTCGCCTCTCATTTCCTGCTGGCAAATCAGTATCCGTGAATGGTGCTAGCAACACCTGTGAGTCCACAAAAGGTTCCATAAATTTGCGAGTAGACGGCTCGTTTAGCACAAGGAGTAGCGTCATTAGCAGCGAGTCTGCTAAGTCCTGAAACGAAGGTTCAAGTATGGCATCAACCAAAACCTTCATACCATTGGCTTCAGCTACAACCTCCACATGCAATAAAGCTAATTCTCGCAGTGTCTCTAAGCACACACGTCGCATATTGTCGTCTTTGTGGCCTGCAATGGCTGTTAACGAAGCTACCAGTCCAGTCGGCATCTGCGCCGCGTCAATCTCAATGATCCTCCGCACGACTTTTAAAGCCTGTACACGCTCAGCCAAATGTTTTTGTTCTCGCTCTAATGAACGTACCAGAAAAACTGGCAAGTTAAGGTCAACAAAATGCTTGATGCTAATACTACTGCTGATGGCGTAGCGCAGCGCTCTGAGCGCCCCAGCGCGCGTGGAGGTATCCGAATCACAAACAAGACGACGCATAGCCTTCATGAGTCGTTCCAGAGGAAATGAATCCAGCAGCAGCGGATAATTTTTGAGCTCCTGTTTGTGAGTTGCGTTAGTTTTGGATGTAAAGTGGACGAGGAGCCCTGTAGACGTACGTAGCAAATGCGACCTGTGCTGTCAAGCTTGGACTTTCGATCCAAATTGCTGCGCTCAATGAGCGTACAAATAGCGGCCAGGCTATCGTCTCCGCTGGAGGCAGAGTTCCTTCGTTGTGATATCATGTGATAGATTAGCTCTTTCGGAATTGTGCCCGTAATAAAAAATTTGCAATTTTAAGAAATTTGTTTGTTAAAAAATGTGGCCAGATATTCACCTTGGAACAAGGCCAGTACTTACTCGTTGTTTGAAAACACGTTGCGCTGCGCGACCCTATCTCCTGGTTATTAGCGGCAACAGCGCCAAGGCAATGTTGCCAAATTGGGACCGCAAACTCTCATGAGTTTTCGGAGTGAGGTAATCCTTTCACCTCGCCAGATATCGACTCTATCTCTGAGCCAATCCACCCACTCCTTGCCAATTGAGCAGATTTTGCAGGGTAGATGCTATAGTTATTGATTTTCGTGAGATCTCTCATTTGTGGCGATACATACACACTCTACAAGAGCCCGATGTGCGGTCAATTCTTACATAAAACTTTTTCAAATGCGCTTTCTGAGCTGCGCACTTGAAAAGATCATCTTTTGGCACCCCAAGCAACTCAAAAGTTGATTTCTAGTCTAGAGACCAGAGACGACAATAGCTCAGCCTCAGGAGACTCTTGAGACATTTTTTGTCTTCATCAGTACAATTTGCACCCGAATAGCCTTAACGTATCATATGGCATAGGTTAGACCACATATAGCACAAAAAGTGTTTGCGTTTTCTTAGCGATTTTTGGAGTGCAACTGAAACCCTTAATGGCTAAGATTGCAGACAGTCTAGTGTAACGATTCAACTTGGTTTGACAAACTGCAGATACTCCAAATGTAGAAATGCTAACGGTGTTAAATAAAAATTCTTCCACGACTCGTCTGCCTTTGATATATGCATGCTGCTCCTGTATATACTGGATCTTACGCGCACTTAGCGCATGATACTCAATTTCCTCATGGTACAACATCATTAAATTTCCCTCGTAGTGAAGTCGGGCTAAAATCAGCACGTCTCACAGTTTCGTGCCAACAAAATCGGGAATTGGCTAGATCGCTTATATAAGGTTAGGTCAAACGTTCAAAGTTGGATTGCATACTGTAACGCAAACGCAACATTACGAGCAATATACCCCTGCATCGCTGTCGGTATCTTTCGCTGGGCAGTGAACGCGTTTCGTCTGACAATCCGTATGAGGTTCGTCTGCTATAAATATGCATTTTCGGTGCCAAGCCGAGATATATGCTTTCCGATTGAACTACGCGAATATAGATTTGTGAGCGCCAAAGAAACGTCTTTTTGCTGGCAGACACTTTTTTAAGTGTGTACCCTCGAGCATTGCTCGCAACTGTTTGAAATGGAAGTCCACATCCGTATCTCCGTCCTCAGGAATGATGAGCAAATATAAAATTTTAATATAGGTGTTTGCTGATATCACTGCCACCGAGAGAAAGTCAACCGACATACCAGCTATAAGTTCTTTTGGTATAAGGCCATTACATACAACCTCCTTTTTCCTTGCTGGGTGGCTACTACATTTGACCACACACGCCAACCTTCGAATGCTCGCCAAATTCGTCATTGAGTATTTTCCATGGTGTACTGCCTTGCTCACGGAGGTAACGCACTTAAGTGCTTGTTTTTGGGCGCGACCTTTTCGCTTACATATTTCTAGTGCAAGGCGCTGCTGATTCAGTGAAGCAGGGTTGTGAAATCCGCTGAGGCTTGCAATAGACACTTCTGAGCCCTTAGCTAACAATTGCGTACACTTCGGGACCGACTAAAGGCAAAGGCTGATTCTGTGTGCCTTGTTCTGCTGGTGATGACTCGTCGACTGCGCGAGTTCATGATGTAAAGTGGAACAAGCAGGGCAGAGCATCTGGACTCTTTTGATGAGCTGGTAGTGGGATTCCAGACTACAGGAGAGCCACTTGATGAGTCACGTCAACTGGTGGTTCTTCTCAGCAGTCTGCCGTCAGAGTATGACTTAATTTCGTCGATTGTGGAGAATGCGAAGGACATCACGTTGATTGAATTCAAAGAGAAGCTGCTCAAGGAATCAGAGAGGCTGCAAAGGAAGGAAGTTACGGAGAAAGCGTTTCGCGTAGATGAAAACGCTAGAAGATTCATAGGTGGACGGGACAATGGACGAAAGGGTGGTCCTCCACGCAATAACGGCGGATTCAAGGACAAGTGTTTTAGCTGTGACAGGTTTGGGCACAGGAAGCGGAACTGCCCGGCCAGTAAGAGGTCCGACAGTGACGACACGGTGTTTGTTGTTGGTGAAGGAAAGTCATCAGGATGACTGAAAGACAGTGGGCAACCTCCCACATGACCCCACACAGGAACAACTTGTTTGATTACAAGGGCCTTGAAGCTAGCATTGAAGTTACGATTGCAGCTGGGAAGAAGTTGCCCATTACCGGAGCTGACACGGTGAAACTGACTGGATTGGCCGGAAAGGGTATTTGTATGGTGGAAGTCCCGGACTCGACAGAAGATTACTATCCGTTGGCAAGCTTGCAGAGTGTGGTATGAGTTTGGAGTTCTCGCGGTCGTCTTGCGTCATTTGAAACAAGAAGCAAGCAATTGCGTCAGCGACAAGAATCGGAAGTCGTATTTGCTTGACTGTGAGCAAGAAGAAGCATGTCTCGTTGAATATTCTGGGGCTGACAATCAGTGGGAGCTTTGGCATGCTCGTATGGGACACCCCAACAAGGACGCGCTGGTCAAGACACAATGCTCAACAAAAGGAATTTTAATTATCAAGCACAATTAGGAAACATTGTGTGCTGGGTGCCAAAGGGCATGCAAACAGTCACGGCATTTCCATCTCGCTCGATGACAAGAACGACACGTGTGCTGGAACGCGTACACACATATGTCATGGAGTTTCTGACGCTTTACGAGAACCAATGGGGTGCGCGACTGAGTTGTTTACGATCTGACAACGGAACCGAATTTGTAAACAAGACAACGGCTGAAATATGTCAACAGAACGAAATTGTACACCAGCGCTCCGTTCCATACAGCCCTAAGCAGAACGGAGTGGCGGAGCGTATGAACAGGACTATCATGGAGACGGCCCGCAGCATGTTGCATTACAAGAGCGTCTCGACGGATTGGTGGACGGAAGCGGTAAACACAGCGGTTTATTTAGTTAATCGCTCCAGCAATACGGCCCATACAGACATCACACCCTACGAGCTGGCTTTCAAAATGAAGCCTCAAATTGATCATTCGCGCGTGTTTGATTCGCACGGCTACGCTCACATTGACAATGTGAAACGGACCGAACTGGAGCACAAGAACTTCAAGTTTATGTTTCTTGGCTACGCAGAGAATGTCAAGGGTTATCGCGTGTTTGACTTGGAGAATGCCAAGGTCAAAGTGACTCGCTCTGTGAAGTTGTATGAGCGTGAGGTGGACGGCATTTGCGACACGCAAGAGGTCAAGCCGGAACGAACGACTCAAGCAGTGAAGGATGGCGATGAAGTCAAGGTTCAGCATCAAGTGAATCGACAGCCAGTTCTGGACGATCCGATGGAGGCTGTCGAAGTGCCAGTTGCGGATGTCGAAATGGATGATATGGTTCACGCGCCAGGCATCGATGTACAGCGGCTAATGCCTTCTGAGAGCCCTGTACAAAAGAGACTTGAGCTTATGGAGAATCAACAACCGACCTAAGTGCAACACGAAGATCGTTTGGTGTTTCGGCCTGAGTGGAGCGAACAAGAGCAAGACGTGAGCCGGTGCTAATGATAAGGAACGGCTCAGATGACGAAGAGTCGGCAGAAGGCAGTGAAGGTCCACCGACTCTGAAACGTGCTAGGATTGATGAGGATGGACTAATTGCAGAAGCTGTTCGCGCCTACAATGGCAAGCGACGATGCGATGAAATGGCGTGAAGCAATGGATGATGAGCTTTGCTTTCATGAAGAAAAGTGAACGTGGATATTGAAGCCACGAGGAAAGATTAAACGCAGAATCGGATCACGATGGGTATTTGCCAGGAAGCGTGATCAAAATGGCGATGTCGTGCGATACAAGGCACGACTGGTCGCGGAAGGATTCAGGCAAAAGCATGGCGTCGACTTTTTCGAGATCGCCAACATGAATTTGATCCGGATAATTCTCGCAGTATGTGCTGAATGCGACGATCAAATGGAACAGCTGGACGTTGACACGGCTTTTCTCACCAGTGTGTTGACGTACAACGTTTTTATGGAAGTTCCGCTAGGTGTCAACAATGATCAAGAATACATATGCCAACTAAACAAGGCTATCTACGGACTGAAAAAAGCAGCAAGTGCTTGAAGCAAGATGATTCATCGTGTCTTCGTGAGGAATGGCTTCAAGAGCTGCGGGAAAGATCAATGTGTTTGTGTCAAGAGCACGAAGAAAATGTTTGTCTACGTTGGACTTTTTGTGGATGACATGATTATCGCAGCAATAACCAGCGAAGAAATAAATCAAGTCAAGGACGTACTCAAGAATGCTTTCAAGATGAAGGAGTTTGGATTTGGGTATGGTAATTGATCACGACAGGTCAGCTGGAACTTTGATGATCAAGCAGACTCGCTTCATCGGCGACGTGGTCAAGAGATTTGGTCAACAAGATGCCGAGAGCGTGGATAAATCATGCGCATCAGAATTGAAACTGTCATCGAAGCAGTCACCAACAACGGAAGAGGAACGGTCGGCAATGCGATTCAAGCCTTATCGCTCTTTGATTGAATGCTTGCTGTACGTAACGACATGTACTTGACCTAATGTTGCGTATGTGGTAACACCGCCTTCACGTTTTTCGGAGAAGCCGGGACTACAACATTGGAGCGCAGCAATTCGAGTGGTAAGGTACTTGAAGACTACGA